TAATAATGCTAAGCAATTATCTAAAAGAAAGTGATCTAAAAGATATAACCGCATGTATATTTAAGTGTGTAGGATAGAAAACCATATTACTAAGTTTTTGTTGGATCTTTGAACAGAACTGTCTGCAATCTCACTGTATGAATGTCCACTTTGTATGCTTTAATTTTGTAATTTTGACAACTGTTTCTATGATGACAATATGTTATCTATTAACTAATGATTTCTCACTGTATATTTTTTTTCTTGAAATTCTGTATTACTCGTACCCTTTTACTGCTTTGTTTTTTTTCTCTATAAATAAAAAAAATAATGCTAAACAATTAAGCTTGAAAGATTAAAAGTAGCCACCAAAGAAACTTTTCTATGGTTAACTGCCACCAGAAGTTTTCTATCTAGAAAGATGCCCCGTTAAATTCTAAAATTTAGAAATTTTAGAAGCCATGCTGGGCCTGGGAGGAAGCCAGTTCACCCTTCCGGTAAGATGTGCAAACCATGAGGGTCCCAAGAAGACAGAAGCCAGATCACCCTGCTCATGAGCCAACAGGCATGTGGGCTGAGAATCAAGAACTCCTGCTGCCCCCTGCCCAAGCAACCGACTAGTTCGGAGGACAGGCTGAGTTGATAGCAACTCAGGCATAAAAACAACTTACTGCTTGGCTTGTGCTGTTTGACTTGAGTCTGCAGGCCTAAGGCCAGGACTCTGAGCAACTACTGGGCAATATAGCAAATATGGAGATTTCCATTTGTCTTACATTTGAAATCTAATATTGTTCTATTTTGTGCTGATTTATTGTTTTCTTTTATTCAGTCTCCTGTTTTAGTTGGTTTTATTCTGTTTTGTTGTATTTGATTTTACTATGTCTGAAGGAATGGACAACTATTGGAAGATGGCAGGATATATTATGGTGGCCATGGTTGATTTCCTATTAACCAGCTTCAAAGTTCTGTACCACTTGCAGTACCATTTTTGATTGGCTTTACTCTGTTTGGTTGAGTTTTATCCTCTTTAAAATAAAAATAAATACATAAATAAATTTAGAAAGTTTTAAAATGCCAGACCTCAAACCACAGTAACATTTATCCACTTAAATATTTTACGTGTTTATTTTCATTGGTTAAAATTTGATGAAATCAATGCTAATCTCTTTGTGTAAAGTAATTCAGACACACTGAGAATTTGACTTTTCCTGTTGTGATGTTTTAATATAGCCTTACACCTGCATAATTTATAATAAAAATGTGAAAGCACTGAGTCAGATTTTCCCAGTGTCCATCACTAGAGTGTGGAGGCAGAAAGTACAAAGTACAATGCATTTTCTTCTAGCATCCTCAGCAAGAAAACTTCCAAAAAGGGCGTCACTCTTGCTTGGAACCACAACACAAACCTGTAGTCCAGCTACACGAAAGGCCGAGGTACAAAGATTGCTCGAGCCAGTTCAGAGCCAGCCTAGGCAACATAACACAGCTCCTTGTCAAGACAAAGCAAATGAAAGGCACTACTCTATATGGTCTCAACAAGGATAATTCACTGTCTTTCCATCTCCTCTTGAAATGGGCTAATTTTGGTTCACATATAAAATAAAAAGGAATCTTGCTCCCGCAAGCAGAAGGGGAAAGAGGACGTGGTAGTCAAATTCAGGCTTAGTTCAAAATGAAATCTCAGCAATCATTCTCAGTCTTTAATGCAAGACTTTAATCATGAGTCTCAGCTTTGTAATTCAAACTGCTTCAACAATGAATATGCCCTAGAGATTTAATTTGTCTTTCTGGGAAAATGAGATTAAACATGAGACTGTCACTTCCTACCGATGATAGGTGTTAAATACTCCCAAGAAAATCACTGCGAACAAGAAAAACATGAATTAATTTTAATACTGTAATTAAACATAATTCTAATATTATCAGTATCATTTGAATCCTTTTTAGCAAAAGATTTTCAGAATAAGCTCATTAAAATAACATGGCTTTCCAATGACTCTTGAAGTTCTTGTCTAGAATCAGTTAGAGAACTCAGAACCAGAAGAAGAAATCAAATGAATCTGCTGTGTCCCATCTGGGAAGGTGAGCCAGAGGTGAGACCAGACAAAACAAAAATAAGGTGAAAAGGGAGAATTTACCAAAAGCATTAGTTCGATCCCCAGTACCCCCCCCAAAAAAGAGAGAATTGGAATAGAAGCTGATTTTATAAACCAACCACCCATCCCTGGATGAGTAAGATGCCTCAGATTCTTTCCTTTAAAGAAACCATGCGGGAGAATCTAATTCCGTGAGGAGACAGAACAACCCTCTTTAGTAGCACACGGACTGGTAGTAAGAGGGTCGGGGTGACATTTCCAAAGTCCATTGCTGCACTCCGTAGTGGCCGTGCATCACTTCTGAACCTGCCGGCCTCAGTACGGCTTCCCGGGTCACCAGGCCTGAGACCAGGATTCCAAGCCAGGTGGCTCAGGATGTGCCATGCAGGGAATGCAGTAGGGGCGAGGAAGACAGGGCAGCCACAAACACGGGGTCCCTCACAATCGCCTCACTCAAGAACTGGGGTGCCTACCCGGCACTTGGCTAAGACTTCTGTGTCTGCACTGCAGTCTCCTCACCACGTGGCCCTGGATATCAGGCTTCTCCCCTCTTTTACATGTGTTTCACGTTACCTTATCTATGCTGTTATTTCTCCCCTCGAGTCTACTTTGTGTTCTCAACAAATTAAGATTCTAAGTGTGTGGGAGACAATTTGAGTGACTCCCATTGAGTGTAGAACCATTGCTGCAACTGTTATTATATCGAGACTCTTTTATACTGATATGTACAGAGCTGATTACCGTATTTTTTTTTTCTTTAATTGTTCTAAGCATTGCAAATAAAGCTAGCCAGGTACTGGTATGTAATCTCTAAATCCATCAGACAGTTTCCGGTCTCCTGGCATAATGCTCCCTCTAAAATATATAAGCACAGTAGAGTGGTAGAGCCAATCACCTCCAGGAATGTCAACTGGGTGTGAGCCTCAAGGTAAAGGCTATGACTCCTTAAGGCACAAAAGTTTACATATCAGAAACTGAAGCAACAGCCTTCTAAAACAATTCAGCTGCTACCTTAATTGAATTATGCATACTGATCCTTCTGCATATCCTTATCTCTGCATTTTGCAGAGATGCTTTTCTCTCTACCTGGCTGGCCAGCTAGAGTTACTCACATAGAGCAAGGCCCGCCACCCTCACTGTCACTCATCCTTGAGCCACTCCCTTCTTCACAAAATAATAAATTCTGGGAGAGGCCTAGGATCAAGGCCTTTGTCTGCACATCCTCACGGGGACTGGACATAGGACCCCTTGGCTGCCCTTAACTTGGAATATGTCTTGGTGTCTTTACTCTCACCGTGGATTGCATTAGAGGTGGTAGATTGGAATTAACTTGCTGAGATTCCAATAACATCTCAATGGGATTATAAATAAAACTTTTTGAATTGTGAGGAAGACTAAAAAAGGGATTATAATATTTGGATGACTATACTCAATATTTGGGATTACAATATAAGTGTATTCGTATGTTTTAAATTCTTTAACATCAACTTTGCATCAATAAATTGTAAAACAAAACAGAACAACAATGACAAAAAAAACAATTTGCACCTTTGAGAGTTGCCAAAATGGGCCATGACATAAGCAGAAAAGGCGATAGGTCTGTCTGGAAGCATTCAGCCTACACTAGCATCCATGGAATCCTTCGTTATCACAGCACAAGAAGTCATTTGGGCAGTTCCAATATGACTCACTGTCACAAAATAATGCTGAGGGAGAGCAGCAAAGCTTGAACTTAACTGGCAAGAAGCGTTTTGAATGAAGTGTTATTTCACTTGTTTTCAGCAAATACAGTCTTTAAAAATAGTCCAAGGCAACCATTATTATCCCCGGACTTGTAGGGCCAGGTCTGTAATAGTAAGTTCAGTGGAGGAGGCTGAAAGGTTCCTCTTTTGTCTTACTGTTTCTCTAGTCAGAATGAGAAGGTAACGTCTAGGTAAATCTTACCAATCCTGACTAAGGTAGTTGACTGACATTATGCTTTATAGCTTATACCAAAAACCTATTTAGAGAATACAATAATTAAGACTGAAATTAATGGGAGGGTGGCACTGGATTTCCTTGAATTCAAGAGATTTATCTTTATTCGACAGATTAAATATTGAGTAAAGAATGTTGAATAAAGTCTATTCGAATTGCTTAGATATTAGGCTGCCTAATCTAGCTGTAATAAACTCGTTATCTTTAAGAAAAATAAAAGTGAAAAATAGATCAGTCCATCCCTGAAACTATCCAGATGCCTTTAAGATGGATTTGGAGGCCTGGCCATCTTTCACAAAGTTGGCCATAGCAGGCACCAGTTAGAACCACTGAGAATGAAATTCTTTTCTAGTGGTAGATTTTATATTTTGGTGAGATCAAGCCACACTACCAAAGTCACTGCACTCCAAAACAAATCTATCCATTATGCAATGCATTCAGTATTTTAAAAATCTCTAATTATAGTAGTGACACAGCAAAGTATTTATCTCTTCGTGACGTAAATCAGTGCTTCTCAAACGATCTGTGAGAGGGGAGTCCTTTATTTTTATTATTGCCAATCTATCAACTACTGATATACTTGCAAAAGACATTCATGATAAATTATTGGAAAAAAATTTTTTATTGGTACCGGGGATTGAACTCACGACCGCCTACTTGCAAGGCAGGTGCTTATGCCACTGAACTAAATCCCCAGCCCCAGGAAATTATTTTTAACAAAATGTGCAAAATGAGCAACTTTTTGCTATAATTAGATTCAACAGACATAAAATTACTGGGGCAAATTTCTAAGAAATTTTTGCAGAGCTTACTCTCAGTTTAGTACTATACTTATTTGGGCCACGGACCAGCGAGAGACACAGGTACATAGTGTCCATCTCAGACCACACTTTGAGGAGCACCGACCTGGAGCAACATGCACACAGTTATCCAAGACGCATACTGTACCTCTGACATTCTTTCCAAATCCCATTGAGGAAACCCTTTTGTCCACTTGTTCACTATTGTTTGATTTCTCTTTTATGACGTCATCATCGCTCACAGCATCCACAGAGAATTTTTTCTTTTTCTTTTTCTTGTGTCGAGGTGGAAGCTTTTTTGGAAAAGTAAACATTGGGAATATCACAAGAAACATTGCAATGGCACAAAGGAGGAATCCACTCCACCTAAAAAATTGGGAAATGTGAGTAGCATTTATGGCTTTTGTTTTGTGAATGAGAACAAATAAGCAAAGTAGAATCTCTGTGGAGATAAAATTCTCAGGGTAAAACTTCTACCTTATCAGCTGAGAGCACTAGAAAGTTGGATGATTTGAGAAAATAGAGACTCTCCCTTTCTGTGATCTAAATGGGAAATCTACCCAGTAATTATGCTAGCTTTATAATGAATGCTACAACCAACACTCTGATTAGAATTTCACTCAAAGATATTTAAGTAGCTATGAACTATTTTTGCTAACATTGTTAGCCTTGCTACAATGTGCATTTTATACTAAGTTTTATAGAAAAATAATATAAGCCCAAAAGTAGGCTTTGTAGACCAATACACTTTTTTCTTAGAAGAAAAACATTAATATCTAGTTTAAATGTATTTTTTCTGTTTGTAAGTCTTGGTGCTAAGGATTGAATACAAGCTCTATGCTGCTACACACCTACTGAGCTATACAGCAAACACCCCATGTTAATTGCATTTTAGCTGGGCCTGGTGGTGCATGTCTGCATTCCCTGTAGTTGGGAGGCTGAGACAGGAAGATTGCTGAGAGTTCGAGACCGGCCTGGGCTACAAAGTGAGCTCAAGGCCAGCCTGAACTGCACAGCAAGTCCCTGTCTCAAAAAGACAGAAGAAGAAGGGGCTGGGGGTTTAGCTCAGCGGCATAAGCACCTGCCTTGCAAGCAGGTGGCCATGAGTTCGATCCCCGGTACCTATAAAAAGAAAAAAAAAAAAAGTATAAAAAAAAAAGACAGAAGAAGAAGAGGAAGAAAAGAACAAGAAGATGATGAGGAGGAGAAGGAGAGAAAGAGAGAGACAGAGAGAGAAAGAAAGAAAGAAAGAAAGAAAGAAAGAAAGAAAGAAAGATAGAAAGAAAGGACATCTTAAATGACTAGCTAAAGGTCAGGAATATATATATATATATATATATATATATATATATATATATATCACCCTCACAGTACTTAACCTAGCATGAGGTAGCAAGAATTTAGATTTGATCCTTGCCTTCAAAAATGTACAACTTAAGTGTAAGCCAACCAAAAATATAAGAAAAATCTCTAAGAAGTACAAGAACATATGCAGAGTTAGGACATATAGTACAGGTTACAAATGCCATAAAAGTTCAGAGAGGGTAAATGAACATAGGGCAGAAAGCGTCCTAGGAGATGTAGAACTTAAGCTATGATGCACTCAGGCTCCTGTGTTTAAATTTCTATGAGGTTGCCATGTTGCAAGGAACTCATGGTGAAAACAAAATGTAGAAACTAAATCTTAGTCTGATATTAGAGCCACAGTCTCTGCCCTGGGACTTCTTCCTACACAGTTCTCTAATGAGCAGTTTCTCAGTCCCCGCTGGCATCTTCTAAGCAAGCAGAGCTCCCTGGTCCTACCTCACAGGGTTGCCATTTCTAACTAGGATTCCTCAGCTTCACACTCTGTTCTTGAAGCTTCAGTGTTCAGGAAGATTTTGTTCTCTGTATCAACCTATTTCCATCAGTTGGAACCAAATACAAGCAGCATTCTAAGCACTAATAATGAATTCAGTTCAGCAAGAATACAAACCAATTGCTAAGTGAAAATTCATTTAAGAATTTTTATTATGTACTTTTGTGATACATAATGAATACCTTCATCACAGGGAGTTGGTACATAAACATCACATCTTAGTCCCTTTCATCTGCCCTTCTCTTCCCTCTCCCTCCACCCTACATCCCCTTTCCCATCTGCAAAAGATCTAGCTCTCTGCCTCCTATCACCCATCTTTTATTTTGCTCTTTACAAATTAGAGCCATGATTTGTGTTTCTCATGTAAAAGAAGACATAACATATTTAAGCTTCTGTCTGATTTGTTTCACTTAGTATTAAGATCTCAAAGTGCATCCATTAATTCAATTAGCATATATACTAATGACTAAGTGAAAGTTCATATTTTTTTTTAAAAAATCTCTATTAAACTTTCACTATCAGCTGACAAAAGTCTATCCTACTTGAGAAATGATTCCTAGAACCAGTCACTAATATCCCAATATGTTACTTTCAAAGATAAAGAAAATAACAAAATTAACATAAATCAGAAAAAAGGCTTTATCTTTGGAAGACTGCTTAGGGTAGATTTCTAGTCATCTCTATTTTTCATAGTATTATCACCAACCTAGTTCTGACACAGATCAGGTATTCAAACAATTTGTCAAATAAATTGAAAGAGAAAAAGTTTTAAGGAACAGAAGGGTCATCTGTCTGCAGAGAACATGCATATGATAATGTCTGATTTTTTAGAACTTGACTGCTCACCCACATTTACCCTCTGGATCTCACTCAGCAAACTCCACATTACAGTGCCCCGAACCCTCCTTTTCCTGGCCTCCCACCGCTCTCCCCTGCAGGGCAGTGGAGAAAGGTGGGGTTTGTGACCTGGAGTGTGAAAAAGACCTGCCTTGGTATCTTATCTTTACAGCTTACTAACTAGGAAATCTTAGGAAAATTATTCTGATTTTCCAGACTTACTTCCTAATCTGAAAATGGTGATATAGAGAATCATAAGAGAATAATAAGTGGTTTCTTCAGCCCTCAAATTTAAATAAGGAGCTGTATACAATGAACCTAATAAAATGCTCGCCCTTAAGTCCATATTTAATTTATGGCAGTTAGTTTTGATTGCTGGGTTTTGTTATGCATGTCTGCCCTCAGCCCCTCTGCCTACCTGGCTCTTAGTCCCTAGCCTGAAATTGCATGCAAACATTAAAAATTCATTCTTAAAGCCTAAAGTAAGAGCATATAACAGAAGAAGAATTACGTAAAAGTCTGGGATTGTTTCAAAGCAGAGCAAACCAGTCTGCATTCTTTTTCTAGCAATATTGGTATGGCACATGATGCAGTGATGGCTACACGGACAAGGCTAAGAAAGGCACCAAAAGGAGACGAGCCAGAGCATCACGGCTTAGAAGATGACACCTCAGTAATGGCTAACACCGAAAGACCAAGGCATCTAAATCTTTTGCATCAAGCCTTACTCAAAGCAAGTAAGGGGGCTCCAATTAACATGTTGACTAAGAGCTCTGCTCTGGAGTAAGTTTTTTCATCCCAGGCCTTACTGACTGATGCTTTAAGGAAGTAATTCAACTCCCTGAGCATCAATTTCCCCACCCGCAAAATGGGAATAATAGTAGTGACTACACATGGTTGTTAAAAGGTCTGATGAGAATATTTGTAAACTCTTCATATAATCCTTGACAGCTGGTGAGCACCCAGTAAATCTTAGCATCACTCAATCCTCCACTCCCTCCTCCACTCTTTCAGCATAGATTTACTGAAAGCTTATCATTGTTGCTAGGCACTGTATCAAATAACTATGCTTTTACTCAAAGAAGAAACCTGTTACAAGTCAGACTACTCAGTGAACAATTCAAATTCATTTTTAAATAGGCCCCTATTTAAAGTGCTGTATAGATCACATTTATCATTTATGCAATGAATACTGCACAAATGAAACAGATAAAACTACTTGAACACTAATGAAACTTGAAGGATAGAATAGTGTATACTGGATAGCAGAGCAGGAACCACATGAAAGTTTGCTCATTACTTAACGATGACTCTTTCAAATGGATACTGTAACCTCCTTTTACAGATTTAAAAAGTAACTGAGGCACATAGACGCGATTTCCCTAAGGGCACATAGCTACTAGATACACATTAGGAGAGAACTCAGGAGAATAGCTTAGGGTCTGCACACTAAATGACTGTTTTGCTACCAGCTAGAAAACATGTAAGTGACTGTACAGAGTGCTTATAAAACTAACGGTCCTTCCTTCTTCTGTTCGTTCTTCTCCCTGCCTGAGCTGGTTCTCCTCGCTCCCTCTGAATGCGTCTTTATCATCGTGTGCTTCTCAGGACATCTACATGGAACAGAGGAATATATGTTTAATATGCAAAAATGTATTTTAGTGATTTAACTTTTTAATGATGAAAACATGCTACTCTGATTTATTTCAGAACTGCAAAAACAGGTGACTCTGAAATGCATAAGTATTTCTCAAGGGAAGAAATACAAATGGCAAATACATAGATGAAAGAAATGCTCAACATCTCTAGTCATTCTAGAGATGCAAATTACAATTCTGAGATTTCAACTCACTCCAGAAAGAATGGCTATCATCAATTAATCAGAACAAATGCTGGAGAGGCTCTGGGGGAAAAGGAACCTTTCTCCACTGTTGGCAGGAGCACAGACTGATGCAACCACTGTGGAAATCAGTGTGGAGATATCTCTGAAAACTAGGATTAGAGATCCCATTTGACCCAGTCATTCCCTTTCTGGGTGTCTCCCTGTAAGAATTAAAAACACTATACCACAGTAACATATGCACATCCATGTTTATATCAGCATAGTTTGTAATAACTAAATTTTGGAAGCAACTCAAATGTCCATTAACCGAGGAATGGATAAAGAAGATGTGCTTGTTTTATATAATGGAGTACTACTGGGCCATAAAAAGAATAAATCTGAGACAGTTGAGGTAAATGAAGGCCATACTCTTAAGTAAAATAAATCAGACACACGTGTAAATATTGCATTATCTCCCGGTGTGAGAAACTGAAAGAGTAAATAAAGTCCAAAGTACACAATTGATATTGTGAAATAGGAAGAAATTGTTCAACAGGCAAGAGGAACTAGGGAGGGGGAGAGAGAAAAGAAGGAAGGGAAAAGGAAAAAGATGAAGGAAGGATAAAATGAAAAGGTTTTGTAACAAAGGGGACTGACGGGAGGGGAGTGGATTGAGAAAAAAGGAGAAATCAAGATATATCGCATACAGATACAAATTCCCTATGATGAAGATGATCAGTATGTATACCTAAACTGTACCAATAAATTTAATGAATGTTTTAAAAAGATGAGATCAAAATATCACTATCAGTTGAGACCTTAAAGTTCCTGCATTATTCCCTCCTCACTGATGAGGACAGTATGATTTGAAAATTTTACCAAGCAAGCTCAGCTGAATCTCTGTTTCAATGAGGATTATTATGAAAATAAGAAATGTTATATAGCTTAATTAGTAGTTATCAACAGTCTTGAAAGTAGTTGCAAACACTATTCCTACCAACTCTGGAGTTATGAGGTCATTATAAAATAATAGAGAAAACAAAGTACCCTAAGCAACTCTCTAGAAAGTAATTAGTTACTTGACACATATAATTCTAAAATGGAAGTATTCTCTTAGCAAAAAAAAAAATGGAATTTCTTATCGTTAATCCATACAAAATGAATTCAGGACACCAGTATTTTGAGTAAGAGCTTCTGCGGGCATGACAAAATAAATTACATTCAAATTGAGGAGGCGCTTGAAGAACTCAAGTGCATCCCTGGTTATTCACGATAAATAACATCCAAAGTGCAAGTTCTTCTGAGTTCTACACGTAGCTTATTTGGCAGGAAGTCAAAGTCCAGCAAATAGAGAACAGCTACAGCCCTAGCTCACGTGGGGACACAAAATATTGCCAAAAAGAAAAGGCTTGCCGAGCTATGCCAGTGGTAAAGTAGAGCTGAGTTCTGGGCACTGGGGGAGAGTGGCAAAGCAGCAATACAAGCATAACAAAGAAATGAAGGGAAGTATTTTTAAGCCACAGAAAAGATAATGAAGGGCATGGTTAAAATAAACAGGAGAGGCCCCTCACAGCCCCTGTGGCCCTTTTCTGGACTTTGCTATATAGGAAAGGGCCCAATCCTACAAAATGCTTATTAGGACACTGTTGCCGAAGTCTCTGTGTTAGTTTCTTATTGCTACTGTAATAGTAGTGGCTCAAACAAAAGTGGGTTATCTCAGAATTCAGATCAGACATCCATGATGTTGGCATTGGAAGGGCTGCGTTTCCTCTGAAGGTCGTAGCTAGGGAGAAAACCTTTCCCTTAGCTTTCGGCGTGCATTCCTTAGCTCACAGCCCCTGCCTCCCTCTTCAGAGCATGTCACCTCCACCCGTGATTTAACTGTCTCCTTCTCTAACTATGGCTCTCCTCCCTTCCTCTCTCCTGTGATTAATAAAACACCCAATCTCCCCAGCTCAAGATTCTTAACTGGATGGCATCCCCCAAGCCCCTTAGAGTGTGTATGGTAACATATTCATTCACAGGCTCTGGGAGTGAAGGAATAGCTAGCCTGGCCCACTCCCTGGAGACTTTCAGCTATCATTAATGTCTTCATTGGGAAAACGTGGACTACGAAAGTACTTATGTCTAACCATCATTAGTAACAGGTGAAATACAAAATTTAGAAAACAATCTTACCAGTTTCCAATGAAGCGAGGATCATTCTGGTCAAGGTGAACAGGATTTCTGGGATCAACATAAAAACCAATAAGAAGTCCACCTAATAAATATCCCACTGCCGGGCCAAGCGCTCCCATGACATACATGATGGCTGAGAAGAAAGAAGGGGAAACATGAAATACAGCAACGTTCCAGGTAAGTGCTGGCAGCTCTGCACTTGCACGGCCACACTGCAGATGGGTCAGACTGAACCCACTTAACTCCAAAATGTCTCTGTTGATGTTTGGGTTTCAGACTTTGCCTTGACCTCCCTGTTAGACCTTGTCTTCCTAGAGCATCAGAATAACCTGGAGAGCTTTTGGTTGTGTCGTGTTGTGTTTTGTTTTGTTTTGTTTTGTTACAGTATCATTAGGCTTCACCTCAGCACTACTAAATTCAAATTTCTAAAAGTATATACCCAGGCTAACAAGGAAGACACTGAAGAAGCAATAGAAAAAAACGTTTTTAAGTCTCAAGAAAAAAAAAAAAAAGAAAAGAAAATATTCTTTGTCATCACTGGAAGATTCTAGCAGGATGAGGGGAGGTGACTCAAGGCTGGACAAGGATGGATTCAGTGGAATTGGAGAAGTGCTCCAAAGCCCCCAATGGCTAACGTCTTTCCTGCCACCAATCTTGCAATGTTTATTGTTCTTTGAGGAATCTTACTTTAAAAGGAGCAAATCTCCCTAAAGGTTGTGGTTCAGGAGGTCCAAGTGGAAAGCACCAACCACAGGAGGACCACAAAATAATTTTTTAAAACACATGTCCAAGCCAGACGTGGTGGTAATCCCAGCATTCAGGAAGCTGAGGCCAGCCTGGGCTGCAAAATGAGTTCAGGCCCAACCTAAACTGCAGAGTGAGATCCTGTCTCAAAAAGACAAAAGAAGAAAAAACACTGTCTGAGGAGTCAGGTGATACATGTCTCATGGTCAGGGAATCAAAAGGTTGTCATTTTATTACCAAAAAAAAAAAAAAAAAAAGCTTTCCATAAAAATGAGTTTACAGCACTGGCTTTTGTGTGTGTGTATGTGTTTATTCCTATTTTCACTCCTGTAATTTACAATTCCAAAATGTCGATTTTAAAATTTTAAAATAGGATATGAAGTTCCTTGAGAATCATACAAAGATATGCCCATATTCCAAAATCCACTGTTTTACCTATACAAACTCAGTTATTTGAGGACAAATCTATGAACACTTTTAAGACACTGCTGTGTACAAGGAATAATAACAAACTCAAGTAATAACTGTTTCTCATTTCTATTACCATCATATAATTCTAACCACTGAGTAAATAAGACAATTTACCATATCCTTCAGCTACCACTATATCTACCAGAACACAAAGCAAAATAATCAGAATGGCTTCGCCTCACTTTATCATCCACACCTCAGTAAACTTTGAGTAATCTTGTGCCTCCTGTTACTCAGAGCCACAGACAGGAGACAGTAATTTAACACCTGCTCTCACTTCTCACACCAGTACAAAAGGGAAAGTGTGGTGTTTGCTTTACAGAATGGTCTCCTCCTTAACAATAAGACCTTCAGTTCTTCCACTTCTCCATCTGTGTTTGGAAATAGAGAATAAAGACAAGGCCTCGAGTAACTGGCACCGTTGAAAGCATGCTTTTCATGCACACAATTAGAATTTCAATAAATATCTTTAATCTCTGTTTATAACCTACTCTGTAACTCAAGAACAGAAAGTAGTTTTCAGGTACAGTCCTTCCATATGCCTACGAAGACACAAATTTATGTTTATACCTCCAGGCAAACTGCACCATTTACAACTTAAAATTGTAAGGAGTCCAAACTGTGACATGAATCATCCTCCTGGAATAGTTCAAGAGACCGTCTTACAAACACAGACAGGAAAAGGGTATTTCCGCCATCCTGTTTATGCCTGGGGCACTTGAGTGCAAATCTCGGAAAGGCGAGTAAAGCAGGCAGCCTGTGCACCAAAGGACCACGCAATTACCTAGCAAATGGAAAATCCACCAGATAGCATTCACCAAAAAAGTAATAAATAAACTCTTAACTACTTTATTGACAAAGCTTCCTGAAAATTCAGCAATGTAATCAGAAACATGTATTTTCATTACACAGCAACCAACAAAATTTAAGTCCAACAAAATCACTTCCATACACACACCACTTAACTGGCTCCATTTGAAAAATACACCATCCTCTGAGCAGAAGTTAAACCTTTCTGGCCACTGGTCAACATTTATTAATTGACTGACCAACAGCACTCATTCAAAGATTTAGGGGGCACCAAGTGTTGAAGCAAACTCACACACCTCCAAATCCCAGGAGCTCCCCCACCTGAAGGTCTCACTGCTCTTCTGGGAGCCCAAGGGTGGGACATACCAGCCTTTGCTATGACTGCAACCATCAAATCACGAGGTCTTAGGGCTGCATTTGGGGGTGAGAACAGGCTGGAAAGTGACGTACCCCTGTTCCTTTGCTGATACTCGTCAAGGACTAACCAGGCCCAGGCTTGATGGTCCCTAGCTGAGTGCCTCTCTCCTTAGAATGCAGAGACTACACACTGTCTATCCCAGCAGGCTCCACCCCTCATCATACATCCCTAAAGGTAAAAGACTTTAAGCTTTTTCCCCTGTGGATATACTTTTCTGTATAAACAGATGTGCATACTATACCAGTCTCTCTCCCACAGCTCACCCCTAATGTCTCAGGAAACGCTGTTAGATCCTCCACCAAACCATATCCAATACCCAGTTCCTTCTCTTCACTCCACTGATAACAGCCTGAACGGAGACACCACTGTCACTCATGGGGAATGACTCCAGGGTTCCCAAGCAGCATCCCTGCTCCTGCCCTCATTTCCCTAAATACATTTTCAGCACAGAAGCTTTAACAGTCTTTTAGAAACATGAACCAGTTCATGTTACTTCCTCGTTCACACCCTGCAAACGGCTTTGCACACCATCTCACTCACAATGAAAGCCAAGTCCCTGCAGGCCAAGAGGACCTGCTCACACATTTGCACACACACACACACACACACACACGATTTCTCGACTTCATCCCCTATCACCCTCCTTGACTCCTTGCTCATCGTATTCGCCCTTCCAGAACCGTCCTCACCGTAGGACCTAGCACTTGCTCTCTGCGTGTGTGCCCCAACCTGAAAACCCCCTCAATTCTTCCCACCTGCTCCTGGCTTCATTTTTCTTCTCAGCATGTGTCACTACTTCACCCACTATACCTCTGCTCATTGTTTTCATGCTCTGTTCTCTCGACCTGCATAGAAGCACCCTGAGAACAAGGGCTCCTGCTCACCACTGGACTTCCCAGTGCCGGGACCGAGCACAAGGTGGGCAGCCCAGATCCCCCACCCAGCACTCACCACTCCTCCCTCGTCCGCCAAACTTCTCACGTTGGAAGCTTGTTCCCCAGTGCAGCCATGGGGAGAGGTGACTGAATCCTGCAGACTGCCCTGAGAAACAGATTAATCCATCTATGGGTTAATGGGTCATCCCGGGAGTGAATTTGTTGTAAAAGTGACCTGGCTCCCTGGCACAGTTGCTCTGTGTTGCCAAGTGACACTGCCATGTTATGATGCTAGAAGAATTTTCTCACCAGATGCTGACCAGACATTGATGCCATGCTCTTGGGCCTCCCTGCCTCCAGAATATGAGCTAAATACACCTCTGCTCTCAGAAACAACCTGCGCTCTGGCACTTTGTTCTAGCAGCTGAAAATGGGCTAAGCTAATGAGTGGTGCCATTACCAACAGCAGATGTCAATGACAAAACTCTTCTTCAGAGCACATCGTCTCTTGAGATCTCGGCTAATGAGCATAGGCACCAATCCGCACTTCACAAATTAATAATTTCATGTGTTTTAACTGTGTCTCATCAGATCTTGTCATACCATTCTTGGTTTTCTCATGATGAAGTGTAGTATCGCAGGTATACAATTTAATGAGCTATTTACTGTCAGTATAAAAAGTTCCAGCCTTTTCTCCCTATGCCCTGGCGGGTCATCTTACCTAGCCCCGCGGGTGTGCACCTGCCCTTTGAGAGGACACTGAATCATTTCACTCATTTGAGATTAAATATGCCCTACTTTTTACTTCTGCTTATCATTTCAAATATTTGTATCTTATCAAGTAGCTCTTCAACCTGGACAGCAGGGAAAACATCATACATACTACCGTCTAATGGTTAAAGCACACACTCCAAAACCATGTGTTCAAATACCAGCTTTAATTTTTGCTAATCACTTGGCCATTAATAAGTTCTTAGCATCTCTGAAGCTCAGTTCCCTCATCTCTAAAGCAGACCTGACAAAAGGACTTGTTCACAGGATTATCATAGGCATCGAATGAGTCAATACTTGTACAGTATGTGGGTTACCTGAAACATGATATACTTAAGAATAAGGCTATTGCAAGAGTAAGTTGTTTGTTGTTACTATTTTATGTTACATAATACACAGTTCAGTGTTTGTGCCGAGGAATATTAACAGTTGTTGATGGGCTGATCACATATCATTTGATCAGAAAAATGGCTGTCTCTTATTTGCTCCACTGCCTCTGGTTCCTCCTTTGTCTGGATCTGTTTCTTCAACCCCAGTGAGACCTACAGCTTTTCCATCACAGGAATGTCCCGTTGCTTCTCATTCGTCATAGACTTAGATACTGCATTTGTTCCCTCCTGCTGCTGCTGGGGGGGGGGGGGAATGTAGCCTCAGCCAGTGATGGTGAGCTTGCAAACATCACAAACAGCCAGCTGTGGCACACGTGCCGGGGGGTCCCCAGCACTGGCCTAAAGGCCTTGTCACTGGATGCTGACTGTCTCACAGCCCTGGAGGCCAGAGGTCCACAATCAGGGTTCCACTAGTACAGCTCTTCCTTGCTGGGTCCTCACATGGCCCCTTCCCTGTGTGTGAGAAGAGAGCAAGCTCTGGTGTCCCCCCCCCTTCTCATAGGGACACCAGACTATGAGGCCCACACTATGAGCTCATTTAACTTTACCTCCCTGAAGGCCCTGCACAGCCCTCTGAAACTGAGTATGTGACTATACTCTTAAAAAAAAAAAAAAACAACTTAAAACTTTTTCTAAGCCCTACAAAATACAATGG